CAATCCTCCCAGCTCGCCAACTACTGGCGTCGCTATTTTCAGATTCCGGAGATCTCTCCGTATGGAAATTGGCGTCCCCGTCAAGATGAAGCTCCAGGAAGCCCTGAATCGTTGCAAGAATCCGGCATGGATGACACCGACTCTCTCATTGCCAATGTTGACATCAATCCACCTCCTGTCCAGATCCATCAACTGGCAACGTTCCTCTGGAACATTCTCAACAATGACAGAGAGGCCAACATGGCCATACTCGAACGTCTTGAGGATCCTGAAGGAGACCTTTCCCGACAGCCAGTTCAGATCTTCTCGGCGGCAGATTTGGCTCATCTTGCCAGCCACTTGGCGGAATCTACAAGGACTTTGTCAAACCAAGCACGCCGCATGGAGGCATTACCTGATGACGGCCTGTGAGCTTTAGGATTAATTCATTTGATGTTTCTTCCATGTATTTTGAAGCCATGTCCGCTTCAGGGAACGGATAATAGCCTTCACTGCGTGTGAACTTGAAAACAGCCTCGCGGCAGCGAGGCGTGTGTGTGGAACATCTGAAAAGATGTAAAACTTCCTTTGGTTCGATGATGGTTGATTTTCGTGGTTTTTCGCTTTTGAATCATATTTGCAGGGGGCATGCGGCAATCATGCAAACGCATGCCAACGAAGCTATGCATGATGGTGGAAGCCGGGGCTGATCACCCTGGTGTACCTGCATTGTTGTGATTACCTGTTGTTCAGGGTTTGCTTCCATTCAATTGTCAATGTCTGCTGATGGGAAGAGGCTCAACCCAAGAACCTCAACGTCACTTTATTTATTTATTTCTCCACGGTTGCCACAATCTGTATTTTCGCCGAAACCATGTCACGGTTTTTGCTGCATCAGAACCTTCCTCAGAGCAAGGACGTAGAAAGTTTACTTCGCACTGAAATTAACGCTGGATCAACCAATTTTTCCTGGCAGTTTGTAAGGGATTGTTTTGTGCACGTGAGATGCATTCCACAACAAAATTCGCAATGTTGTTTCTGAGCAAGTGTGTGTGCGCGCGTGTGCATGTTGAATTTTGATCGCTTTCCAAAATGTTCAATCTCACATTGAGCATTTTGTCCTCATTGAATGGCGATTAGAGTTTGCAATCATTGCCGACACAGAGCAAGTAAATTGAACAGACAGTAGGTTGCGTTGGTTGAGGAAAACAGATGGTGCGGACAGATAGAACCCAAGGTAAAAGGTTCTAAGTGTGAAGGTTTTGTCGGGTTATGAGCGTGAGGGTGAAAATTTTGGACAAAGTTCTAAGTGATTGTCCGTCAGTATACGGCACATGGCAGATGAAATTGATCTGCCTGTTGGCAGGAAGTGGTTGGATTTGGTTTTCTGCTTGTCCCTTACGACTTGCAAGGAAGGCAAAGTTTCTTTTTGCTTGCGCATTGGACAGCAGAAAGTAATTCCTGTATCATATGGTGCTTGGTGTGGGAACGGCTCAGACTGAGGGCAAGGGTTTCACTCGCAGAATCTCACAGACATTCAGAGTTTAGTTGATTTCAATAGCAAAAGGATGCAAAAGGCGTTTAAGCATGTTAAAACTTTTGAGAACGTGGGATTGTGCAAGATTGAGAATGCGCGGGCGGCTGCCAAGGTCTGCACGTTCGGCCGCTGGAGCTACATGCTGGTCAACCGAACCTGAGCTAAGAAAGACCAAAACCATTTGAAACAATGAGATAGCATGCGAAAACATGTGACATTCTGATAACAATGCGTATGGTCGATCAATGCTGGTCCACCTTGATTGATCAAAGTCAGTCAGTGGAGAGTTTTTGCTAACATCCATCAATATCCTTTAGATCAAATTGGTTTGCAGCAGTGAACATTGTTTTCAGGCTGCCCGACTTTGGCTGTTTGCCTTGCCTCCATCACGTGCACTTCTGTATGGGTGACTTTGCAATTGACAAGGTGCATGGAGTGCATGGAGGATTGAACGCATCTATCCTGAAAAAGAACAGAGTGCCCTCTCTGCTCTATGAGTCAAGTTTGATACATATCATGGTATATACCATGTGCTTGTCAATGTTGAACCAGTCTATATCGAGCCTGCAGAGAGTTTACAGTTTTTCTTCAATAACTTTTCAGATGTCGGTTCTCTTTCTTTTTGGAGGACACTGGCCCGTGGATGGTGGTTTCCGTGGTTTCCTTTGCGCAGATGAAGCCTCACCCGGAAAGCTGGCAGAGCTAGCACTTGGACCATGAAATTGCGCGACTCTTCGACGCTCAAAGCCGCCCACTTTGCCAAGGCAGATCTATTTTGCCACTTGTGATCTCTTCGGGCGCATCTACCTACAGCTCCTTACAACTCAGTATGTCTCCTTACATCCTTACACATACTTGCATGTACGTACATGTACTTGCATCCATGTCTCCACATTTTCTTACGTCTCCTTGCATCTCCTTCCAGCTTGTCACAGCCTTTTATATTTTTTTTAGTTCTCCGCGCGTCTCCTCAGGTCTCCTTAGATCAAATTAGGTTTCCATCTACTTCCCACAGCTGTCAAGTCTAAGCAGCTTGCAGCAGCTTGGCTTCCAGCTAAAGTTATTTGTTGTTGTTTGATCAGCCAAAGTGTTTGTATAAACTGTTTGTCAGGAAAGCTAGCTTCTGCTAGCTGAATTAGCAAGGTATTGGGGGGCTGGAATCTCCAATCGTGTGGAACTTCTCAGTTAACTACCCCCCCCCCCTCCCCCCGGCCAGCTGGTTCACAAGCAGGTTGGCCGTGGCTCAATCCCCCCGCGGACGCCGTCGGCATGTCGCCTCCGGCAGCAAAATCGGGAGCATCCGCATCCTCAGCATCATTGGCGTCATCTATAATCCCTAGCGCATGCTTCAAGTCATTGGTGTAGCATCGCTCACTATTGGCATGCTCACGGCGAGCCTTAAAACGTAGCTTCATTTTCATTTTGAACCTTCAGATGTAGTTTCCAGTCAGTTCTCACAGTGGCAAGCTTGTCTTGGACATAATGTTCCTTCATACAGGTGAGTTTGCAAAGATCCTTCCGGGGCAATTGCGTTAGCGTACCTAGCTGCGCTTCCAACATCTTCTTCTCTTGCAACTTCTAAGCCTTGAAAGGCCCACTCCGATGCTGAAGGTGGACCCTTGAATTTTCTTCGTGTTTAGTGACCGCCACGCTACTCATTGGGAGTTTGCGCGTTATCTTCAGGCGCGTGATATAATCGTGTTCTCTTCATGCGTGACATTGATCCCCCTTCAATGTGCCCCGTTCACCCTATACCAAGACATGGAAAGCCTTGTCTTGGACCTAATATCCCTTAATACAGATGAGTTTGCGAGTATGCTGGGTGTTTTCATGCCAAGCTCCATGCCAAGCTCCCGGCCAAGCTAGCTTTCGTCACTTGCCCCTGGGCCTCAACTAGGAGTTTCTTGAAATATTCTGCCTAGGGACTCTCAATAGAATCAAACCATTCCGATTGCTGAGACCTGTGTCAGCACAATTTAAGTTGAACATGCTACGTATTGGTTGACCAGTGGAAAGCATGCATGGTTCCTTGATTTTAATCATATGTCAGTGGATGCTGCCGGGATAGCTGACTAGATGACCAATGAAGGGGCTCACCTTTCCATGGCAAAATATCACCAAGTGCCTTGTATCGCCAGACATTCGCTTGTTGCATGAAATTTACCGTGGCATTGGAACACGTATATAACTTGGGCAGAAGTGATGTCTGTAGCCACTGAGGTCGACTTCGAAGAACATTCAGATGAGTGAAAAACGTTTATTGTAATTTATTGTAGTTTACCTTTTATATTTCATGTTACGTGCAGGATTTGAGATGGATATGACTCCAATGAACATAGCGTATGAAGCATCGTAGATATCACTTGCGAACATCATGATGAGATAAAAGCACGTGTGAGTGTGAGATCCCGAGCCATGCAGCGACCGGCCTGACAACCACATCATATTCATACACAGCAAGTTGAATGTCCAGAACTCCAACTTGACAGACAAATGAAACAGGACTACTGATCACCCTTGGACCTGTTGAGAAGATGCAATAATTAGCAACTCAACGCTGTCTTCATTTATCTGCAGCAAACTTCATTAAAGCTCTACAACTCAAACATTTTGATGTTGAGCCTGTTGGGTCTGTTGAGACTGTTAAGCCAGGGAGTTCAGTTTGCAGGTCCAGCGCCAACAAGTCGAACCCTATCAGCCGCACAATGGTCACGACTCCTCACGACGGCCAGAGTGGCAAGTTTGAAAAAATCGTTCTACCTTGCGTGCGAGGCACATGGCATCTTCCTTTAGACACTTCTGGACAAGCTTTGAAGTGGCCAAACGAGACGCAAGAAGCGCCTTGTGAAGAAAAAGTAGCCGCTTCACCAGCAACTGCAGCGAGCAGTTGCGTGAATAAGTGGATTTGGAAGTGTCGTGAATAGGTGCGAAGTGTATCGCATCATCTCGTTCATTCTTGACTCACTAGACTCTACCACCTATTGACTTCAAGTGCATATTGTCCACTGTCGCAAGATGCCACCAAAGGAGCACATTACCTGCATACCAAAACAGCAGTAGGGTAGGATAAATGTAGATAATACAGGATTCTGTTGGATAGCAGCTGCACTATGCCAGACTGCCGTAGACACTGTTTCAGAATGTTTCAAGTCAGTAACCAGCCTTGGAGCACATCAATGGATTCCGCAGGGCCCAACTCAAGAAACTGTTACCACGATATGATATTTTGGACAAAGTCGCAAACATGAAATGCTTCAGTTCTTTGTCGAACCTTGAGGTTCCAGTCGCTATGTCGGCTCAATCAGGTCAAAGGCAAAATACTACTGATCAGAACGGTGCAGATTTACAGAATTTAGATATTTGCTTGGGATCTTTTCTAAATGCGTTTTCTAGAGGATTCTGTTCGACGAAGTAGACACTTACCGGCACCAAAAAGGAAAACTTCAGGAACTTCCTTATGAACCTTCAAGTCCTTGATTCGGAGGGAGGGCGATGCGGTCCGTGCAGGGATGTTGCTCTTTGAGAAAGTCACTTTTCACCATATCGACATCGACTTCCTGGTGTGCATGGCGCAGGATCATTCTGCAGCAGTGCGTTCGACTGCCTGTTCGCATCTTGGCAGGGTTACGCTGCGCTGCAGAGCACGAAATGCCTTTTAGAGCATTATTGCCGTTACTGTCCCTGACTGTCTCTTCCAATAATCCTTGTCAGATTGCCTGCCAAAGCCGCCATCACATCCCAAAGGATTGCCAGCCGGGCAGCAGCGGCAGTTGCAAATGCGGGCCTTTGGCACAGGTCTTGCTTCTGGTGGCAGAATGGGCTCTAACAACTCTGACAAATCTGACAGGTGGCTGTGTCTCTGCGGTACAAGAAAGGACATCGTTGGTGCAGATATCGCTGGCTGATATTCACAGTGCCATTTTCTTCACCCTAAAGGGTATTTGGATATTTCACTATGAATGCAATGCATTCAGTCATACGGGTAGCATAGTGTACAAAGCTTTGAACAGGTGACTCAGGTTTGAAGTGCCATATTGTCAAAGAGAAAATGCTAGGCTGACGAGGCACTTGTATATACACATTTATTTATATATATATATATATACAGTACATATACACGTTTATATTTGTATATTAGTATATTTCACATTGTCTGTAGACATACATGTATACATATATATATATAATTTTATATATATATATATATACCTAGACATCCAATCGTACTAGAAAAAAGTACCCCCCCATGGTTTCGTACTAGTTTTCATGAAAACACGTGAAATATGGCAAATCGTTCAAATTTTGTTGAAATAGTGATCTTCGTATCGTTTTTTGAAACGTATTACTTTTTAGGGGCACCAAGCACAAACGGTCAGAAAAACAGAACGCAACTCGAGCGCAATTTTGCGCAAGTCGAGCGCAATTTGAAAAAGTACTACACTTTGCAAAAATACACTAGCAAGATCGTTTACTTTTTTGGAAGGCGACCACTTTTTTGTGAAACGTCATCCAAAATGTTGAAACGTCAACTGTTCAATTCGTGATACTTTTTTCTAGTACAAATGGACGTACAGTACAGGTATAGTTATTTCGTGATTTGTATATCTATTTTTTATTTATTTGTATAGCCATATATGATCATATATGAATGTATAATATATATATGTGATACTTGTATAATTATGTGTATATATATATATGTGTGTATATTTAAATATATATATATATATTTATATATGTGTAAAATCCCTTCCACCTAATATTGAACACCCCCTGAATTTCAGAGCTCCTAAGTCTCTAGGATGAAGGGTTTGCAAAATATGTTTTTCATGATTTGTTTATGATTTGGATACGATTGCCAGTTATGGTGTTTTATCGGTTCAAATTGCGGATATGATTTTTTAACCATTTTTTAACGGTCCCCTACCGAAATCGTAAAAAAAAATCGTGAGCAAATCGTAAATGCCACGAAGGTACCTAGAATCGATTTCTCACAAATAAATCGAGAAGTTTACGATTTTATTACCTTTTTGATACGGTTTCGTGTCCAAAATCATTTAAAATCCGTACATGGCACCAAGGTCCCTATAGAATCGTTTTTTTGCAAAAAAAAACGAGAAATTTACGATTTGTTTGATTTCTTTAGGATTTTGGGAAGGTTTCCCTTTCCCAGAAGCCTTTCCACCACCACAAGCTGATTTGGAGCCAAAATCATTCAAAAAAACGTACATGCAACCAAGGTCCCTGTTGTGCGATTTCGGTAGGGAACTGTAAAAAAAATCGTTAAAAAATCAGTTCCGCAATTTGAACCCATAAAAAAATCACAAATGGAAATCATAGGAAAAAATATTGAAATCGTAAAAAGAAATAGTTGCTCAAAACGGCATCCTAAAGGATTTAAGAAGTCTGAACCCTAAATGGTCCGCAAATAGGGGTAAATCTGCTACTAAACCATGGTTTCTTCGGGTATCGATATTAGGTATATAGGGGGAAGGGAGTATACAAATATATGGTACCCCTTCAAACGTCTATATACCGTTTGTCTGCTCTTATGGAAGAGTATTTTATACATGTAAAGAATATATTCAGCCGGGAAATTTTGGGTAGGCAGAGACATTGCTGCTGCGGTGACTGAAAGTACGTTCAGCCGCACTCTGTGTTTAATAGCGTATTTTTGTCAGTTTGGGGACGTTCATTTCAAGAAAAAAACTATTTTGGGAATCTTCAATCTTCAATACAGCGCGACTTTCACGTACTTCAGAGTTTTTGCCGAAATACTCCAAATACAGGTTTCTATTTACTGTGTGTTTTTTTTGTTTTGCTACTGCGCGTCCTTTAAAATCGCCGCTGTTTCCTCGATCTCTCAAAAACAAATCCTGTTAAACGGGCTGTGGTTTCCTGTGTCTTCCTGTGTGGGCACTGCGCTTTCCTAAAGAATTCATGCTACGTAATTGGCTGTTATGAAGCTTTACTTTCTGAAACCCATACATCGACTTGCATTGTTGCACTTTCTTGGTCCAAGTGTGTTCTGGCAACTGTGGTTTCTGGTTTTGTTCACAGGACTGCACTTCTGGAAGGATACTGCCTTTAAAAGGAGTCTGAGTACTGCTCCTTTAAACAGGAATATGATCCTCCTTGGAAAAATCTCTATAAAATAGATCACCTGGGGGTACGATTCTATAGAGATGAGGCTGGTAGGCCAGTGTTTACTATAGGATGGTACCTGGATTGCGCCCATTCAGTCTACATACCCAAAAGTGACACCAAACTTGAGGCATTGCAAACCCAGTTTTCTATTCTATAGGGGGTCTTTTTCCTAATCACTTGGACTCAGGTTTTCATTTTATAGTGGATTGTTTGTTAGATTTTGTTACAAGCAGTGGCCAGTATGATTAGCCTCATACTGGCCACCGCTTCTAACAAATAATCCACTATAGAATGAAAAACTGGGTCCCAGTGATTAGGAAACATGCCCCCTACAGAATAGAACCCGCTATTTCCAAGGCCCAAAATGTGGTTCACGTTTGGGCTAGCACCTTTCAAAAATCCTTGTGAACCATTTTTAGAAGAGTGGTTGGATCTCCATTTTAAAGGAGCAGCCCTGCACAAAACTGATTCTTCAACAGTGTTGATTACTTATTCGTTTGCAATATGTGTCAATATTTTACAGTATTATTGCCCACTGACACCCCCCTTCCACTCCTATAAAATGAAAACCCAGCCTCATACCCACCGCTTCAAACAAATAATCCATTATAGAATGAAAACCTGAGTCCAAGTGATTAGGTGCCCCCTATAGAATAGAAACCGCTATTTCCAAGGCCCAAAATGTGGTTCACGTTTGGGCTGGCACCTTTCAAGCAAAAAAATCCTTGGGAACCATTTTTAGAAGAGTGGTTGGATCTCCATTTTAAAGGAGCAGCCCTGCACAAAACTGATTCGTTAACAGTGTTGACCACTTATTCGTTTACAATATGTTTCAATATTTTACAGTATTATTGCCCACTGACACCCCCCCTTCCACTCCTATAAAATGAAAACCCAGCCTCATACCCACCGCTTCTAACAAATAATCCACTATAGAATGAAAACCTGAGTCCAAGTGATTAGGTGCCCCCTATAGAATAGAAACCGCTATTTCCAAGGCCCAAAATGTGGTTCACGTTTGGGCTGGCACCTTTCAAGCAAAAAAATCCTTGGGAACCATTTTTAGAAGAGTGGTTGGATCTCCATTTTAAAGGAGCAGCCCTGCACAAAACTGATTCGTTAACAGTGTTGATTACTTATTCGTTTGCAGTATGTTTCAATATTTTACAGTATCATATATTTACAATATTATTGCCCACTGACACCCCCCCTTCCACTCCTATAAAATGAAAACCCAGCCTCATACCCACCGCTTCAACAAATAATCCACTATAGAATGAAAACCTGAGTCCAAGTGATTAGGTGCCCCCTATAGAATAGAAACCGCTATTTCCAAGGCCCAAAATGTGGTTCACGTTTGGGCTGGCACCTTTCAAGCAAAAAAATCCTTGGGAACCATTTTTAGAAGAGTGGTTGGATTTCCATTTTATAGTGAAACACTGGGTCCCAGTGATCATGAAAAAGACCACCCTACTGAATAGAAAATGTTTTTTCCAAGGCCCAAAGTTTGGTTTCACGTTTGGATCTGGGCTGGCACCTTTCAAGCAAAAAATCCTTGGGAACCATTTTTAGAAGAGTGGTTGGATCTCCATTTTAAAGGAGCAGCCCTGCACAAAACTGATTCGTCAACAGTGTTGACCACTTATTCGTTTACGATATGTTTCAATATTTTACAGTATTATTGCCCACTGGCACCCCCCCTTCCACTCCTATAAAATGAAAACCCAGCCTCATACCCACCGCTTCTAACAAATAATTCACTATAGAATGAAAACCTGAGTCCAAGTGATTAGGTGCCCCCTATAGAATAGAAACCGCTATTTCCAAGGCCCAAAATGTGGTTCACGTTTGGGCTGGCACCTTTCAAGCAAAAAAAACCTTGGGAACCATTTTTAGAAGAGTGGTTGGATTTCCATTTTATACTAAAACACTGGGTCCCAGTGATCATGAAAAAGACCACCTACTGAATAGAAAATGTTTTTTCCAAGGCCCAAAGTTTGGTTTCACGTTTGGATCTGGGCTGGCACCTTTCAAGCTAAAAACTCCTTGGGAACCATTTTTAGAAGAATGGTTGGATCTCCATTTTAAAGGAGCAGCCCTGCACAAAACTGATTCGTTAACAGTTTTGATTACTTATTCGTTTGCAGTATGTGTCAATATTTTACAGTATTATTGCCCACTGACACCCCCCTTCCACTCCTATAAAATGAAAACCCAGCCTCATACCCACCGCTTCAAACAAATAATCCACTATAGAATGAAAACCTGAGTCCAAGTGATTAGGTGCCCCCTATAGAATAGAAACCGCTATATCCAAGGCCCAAAATGTGGTTCACGTTTGGGCTGGCACCTTTCAAGCAAAAAAATCCTTGGGAACCATTTTTAGAAAAGTGGTTGGATTTCCATTTTAAAGGAGCAGCCCTGCACAAAACTGATTCGTTAACAGTGTTGATTACTTATTCGTTTGCAGTATGTGTCTATATTTTACCGTATCACACAGTATTTACAATATTTTTGCCCACTGACACCTCCCCTTCCACTCCTATAAAATGAAAACCCAGCCTCATACCCACCGCTTCTAACAAATAATCCACTATAGAATGAAAACCTGAGTCCAAGTGATTATAAAATGGAAATCCAACACCCCTCTAAAAAATAGTCACCAAGTAGATTCTTTTGTGGAATGGTGCCAGCCCAGATCCAAAAAAGTGAAACCAAACTTAAGGTATTGCAAACCCAGTTTTCTATTCTATAGGGGGTCTTTTTCCTAATCACTTGGACTCAGGTTTTCATTTTATAGTGGATTATCTGTTTGAAGCAGTGGCCAGTATGATGCTGGGTTTTCATTTTATAGGAGTGGCAGGGGGCTGTTGGTTTTCTTGGGTTTCTATTCTATAGGGAAAATCCCCCGCCCTTAGTCCTGGGTTTGCGTTTTAGTCCCTATAGAATGGAACCCCCAGGTTTGGTTCGAATTCCAACAGGGATGGAATATGTATATATACATATATATAGGAACAACAATGCTGCCTTTATTCTCAACCAGGTCCAACCGTTCCATTTTTTGAAAGGAATGTTGCTTTTGGTTGGGGGCACATCACAGGAGGGAACGTCAGCTAAAACAAATGCATTGGACATATCAAGGGCTCAAAAGGTGAGTACTATTCTGCGCATGTTTGGTATTTGGGGTGAATTTATTTGGGACATTTTCAAGATTCTTTTATTTTCTGGCATTTCTGATGCATTTCTCCACATGAACCCCTCGATACAAAGCGGAACGCGCTTTTGGGTAGAATATGGTTGAATATAAAAGAATATACAGTGATATACGTAACATGCATATATCATCATTTATCAGTGTTTTTATATGTTTTTATATGTTTATATATATATATATATCGGGAGAACGCGTTTGGTCGCCCCAATGCTTTTGCTGATGATAATGCGCTCAGTGTGTATACAGTGGAACACGAACGTTATTAGGGGGCTTGTGAGACGTGCACAACTTCTGTGACACGTGCACAAGTGCTGGGAAACGTGCGCAACATCTCTGACTCGTGCACAACATCTCTCAAACGTGCGCATAGAGAGTACTTGAACACATTGGGTGGGGGCGGTGAAACACACTATACCCATATATATATATACACATACAGCATACATACATATATACATACATGCATACACACACGCACACACATATATATATATATACTGCCAGTAAAAACAGACCAAACTATTTCCAATCACAGAACCGTTGAATCAGCATGAATCAACAAACATAATGACATATACAATGTAAACCCGTCCTTAGCATGCTATTTGAGCCACGCAGGGCACGGGCAAAGTTGTGCCAGGCATTTGGTGGCAGTGCGGGAAGAGCGTTTTCAAGAGCTTGTCGCCGCAGAAGTGGCGTACCTGGCCACAGTGCCAGTAAAACCTGTCAGCATGCGTCAGGTGCTGGGCTGGGAAAACACACAGCTGCCACATGTTGATACTTGTTGTTTCGTTCGGCTCGCATAGCACAGCATGAGATGAAACTCAGTAAGGTACTTGTTGTTTTGAACTTAACAGACTTGAAACGCATTGAGATGTCACAGGTAGAGTGTGTTGGGGTAAGCGCGATCCGGCTGTTTTGCTGCCGTGGCAGCTCCCTGAAGATTGTGACATGGCGCAATGCTCGTGATATGGTCCCTACCATCCAGAAGGAAGTGCCAAAGCGATTTGCCCTGAGAATCCGGCTGATTGAAACACTGGATGGGTGGCAGGACGGGGATAATCAAAAACATTGTTCATGAAACTTTGCTGGATGGCACTTGACACATGTAACATCAATCATTGCACTCACTAGCTTTAAATGGTACATGCCAGCCGTTTCCATGCTACTCCCCCGGTTAGCCTAGCCGAGCTTGGCAACGAGGAACCGCAATGATTACCTCAGTTTGTAAAAAGGCCAGCATATTCGGGGGCACATTGGTCAAAGGGCGGTCCAGGTTTGTAGCAGCTGGAGGAATAGTTTAACAATGTTGAACTAACAAAAGCCAGTGTTGAGAACCAGCGCCACCAAGCATCCTGCTAGACGAAATGGCCGCATGACTTCGTAGATTCCCTGCGAGAAGTTGGCGTGGCCGTGCGAGCCGAGGGTAGCGACGAAGCCATGAACAGCGCGCAGCATTTCAAAGTTGTTTTAAACAATTCAATGTTTTTTTGATGCAGGAACCGACCCAGGCCACAGCATCAAAAGCTACAAGAAATGCGCAGCGCACTGCCTGCAGCATGCTGTGTCTCAAAATCGCACTCTCATAGACCGGCATAGTGAAGAGTGATGAAAAACGGAGTAAGAATAAAGAGGAATTTGCAAGTAGACAGCAGGATAGATAAGCAGGTCAGTCAACCAGTCAGGTGATGACCGACCTTAGACTATTAGAAGGCCCTCGCTGCCCTAGCAGCAAAGCATCAAGGATCGTTGAAGTGTAAGTGTGAACCCAAATTAGTTTCAATGCAATTCGCTTTTGACTGGGTACGAGATAAATTGAGCAGCTGCAACCGCGCGCATCAGTTGGATTTTTAAAGATATGGTTTTCTCTTTGTTTTGTCTCTTTAGCTGTCTCCTCTTTTGTTTGCTAGAGTGGGAATAGGTTTTGCCCGGTTTCTCTGGTATATCCACCCTTCTTTGGTTGCCACCCCTGTTGTGCTGGTACAACACCTTTCTTGTCTGTTTCCTTTTTTAAATTGCGGTTTGAATGCAAGTGTGGATGATCTTTGATGGGTGCTACCTGCGTGGGATTTACCTGTTTCTGACACTGGCTGTGTGCCTATGTCTTTCCCTCAACAAAGAAACAAGGAGAAAAGGCGCGCCGGTCAGCTGCTCAGCTTGTCTCAGATCTGTCAAATGAATGCTTTCATGTTTGCAACTTGCAACATGCTGGCAGACACAGACTTCAAAGCGAAAATTGCGCTTTTGACGAAAAGCTGTTTCAGCTCATCCTTAGACTTGGCTTGTTTGAATGTATGTGAATGCCGGCAGATGTTTTTGTGAAATTGGAGAGAAAACGCAGGCTAGAAACCGCATGAAGGGGCGGCGTCGAAAACAGAGAGAGAGAGAGCACTAAGATGTAAAGTTTAAAGCGCACCGTGAATATGACGCAACACCACAACGAACATGTCCAAGCACCGCGGTGTGCAAGAGAGGCGTTCAAATATGTTCAGGTCGCTTTCCATTCAAAGCATGTTTGACCAGTTTTTTTGAGCTTGATTTGATGCACGTTTACCTACTGTATATTAAAACAATTTGCTGTGTAGAGATGTGCGGAGGTCTCGCATTGTCCTAGTGCCAAGTGGATGGCATGTTTGGCGAAAGCGAGTCAAATATGAAAAATGCAGCAAGAACTTGAAAGTGACTATTTTTTAAAACATGCAGCTTGCAACGCCCACTTGACTCCTTTGCATCATCACCTCTTCCCTGGAGGCTATCCCAGAGCTTGTGAAAATGCACGATCTGCTTACAGGATGGTACAGAGACCTCGTACTTCTTGACTACAAAAATCCTGACCTGGCGAGTTTTGTTCGGTCCTTCAAATCCATTCGGGATGAAGGCCGCCATACCATTGCTCTATCAGCAAGCGGCATCTACAAACTCCGAAACAAGCTGGGCAAATTTTCACAGCAGGAGACCAATTTTCTGGATGAATGGCTCGATGGCTTCTTGCTGTCAAGGAGCTGGGTTCATGAGGCTTGCCGGGCTTTTAGGTATTGATCTCATCCAGGGTCAAGTGCAGCAGTTCTAGCCTTCCTTTGAGCCTTCCTCTGTACTCCTAAAGCCAACCTTTCTGGCAATCACATGTGTTCAGAGGAACACCAAAGGCAGTTTAGCAGTGCTTAGAATAGGTTTAGGATGGTTTAGGTTCCGTCACCTGACATGTTTTTATTGTTTTCCTTTTAGGGGGCACTGGGCTTCGCCCGCGAGCACTAGGCTTGGCCCTCAAGGTACTAGACTGCGCGTGTGGCAGGGAAGGCGTTCCAGAGAAGAGCCTTGGGGCTTGCAAATAGTTACCGAAGGTACGGGCTTTAGATGGTTTGAGCCCTGTTGCTCCTGACGCTGTGTCTGGCGTAAGACTGCCTTCGCTTCAGCTCTGCACATCGCACATCAATATCACGGTCAATGTCGTCATCGTCATCATCATCATCATCATCATCGTCCCTCCTGCAAGGTCCAAGCCTGCAACTTGACACTAATCACTTTTCATGTACCTCGCCTGGTCCGTCACGACATAGCTAGTTACAGGGAACGCATGGGCCATTGCAGGATTGGAACAAACGCCTTGATCGACCAGTTCATTGCTATTGCGTCCAAAGAGGATGGAGGTTTGGGCAGACCAACAGGCATAACAGATCCCCGCAAGAAGCTTAGTGGCCTAGTGCAATGGACCTGTGCGCTTGATTCTTGTCATTGGCGTTTTTTGCTTCAGCGCATATTGCCTCAGGTTGCAACGCGTCCAACATTTGTAGATTCGCTGCCCAAGTGTCATCTTACATGTGCTACCAACGGTTTGGTACAGAGCCAAAGTACATTGTTCAAGACTACCAGGCCAGCTCCAAATGATTTGCACTGATTTGCCATGGCCTGTGCATGTTTGTGTTACAAACTGAAAAATCTGAAACGATGTGCTCAGAAAGTGAGGCTTTTGCTTGAAGTTAAACCTTGTGAAGCAGGGATTCGTAATGCTGTCCCAAATGCAATCTTCCAACTCGTGTTCCATGATGCTACACGCAACACATCAAAAACCTATTCACGTTTGTGCCCGCGTATACTGATGTTGGCCCTGCGCAGGCTGGCCGAGTTGGACCACAAGAGAAGTCTCCTTGCTACTTTAGCCTGATTCCGAGCTATTTGAGATACATTATGTGCGAGCTGTTGAAGAACAGCTTTCGGGCAACGCTTCTGACAGAGATTGACATCAGTTCTCGTCCAGTGCATATTCGAGTCTGCAACGATGTTCATCATGTTGCAATCTTAGTGAGTGATGAGGCGGGCGGCATCCCGTTTGAAGTCGGGGATCAGATTTGGTCATACATGTATGGCACGGCTGCAAAGATAGGGACTGTCAACAGCTTCAGCACAGAGGGAGACGAGCTGGACAATCCAGAGAGCCTTACAGGGTATGGTGTTGGACTGCCTTGTGCCCGACTTTATGCACGATATTTGGGAGGGAAGCTCTCGCTCACTTCCTATCCCAGCTATGGAACACAAGCGCACTTGATACTGCCCAGACTTGGATCGCCTCCGTAATCTGGACGGAGACGGTGATAGAGTGAGCAACATGGTTTGGCAACAGAGGGAACTTTGAAACACCACATCCATCAGGATCATTCAATGCCCCCTTTTACAAACGGCTAGCATGAACATGCATGAACTATATATGACCTATGTTGGCCTGAGATAGCCTGAGGAGGACTTGAGCAAGTGTCGCAGGTGGCGCGTTGCTTGCGGAGGCCTTTCAAGCTGATGCCGTAGCTTTGAATCCGAAAATGCTTCGAAAACCGCCTAAATACGAATAACGATGACATATATGAAATGCGATGACTGCACCTGACGGGGCTTCAATTGACACATGGCCAGGGATGCTGTGATCTTGTACTGCACCGTTGCACATTCCTACCCCAAGGGTTCTTCAGCGAATGGACTAGTAGGACAAGTGAAGCACAGAGCAGCGAAACACGGAATCGCAAAAGTCCGCTTCTTGAACGTTTTTTGTGTGAAGGCAGGTTGCGAATTAGTCTTAGCCAGGGGCGTGCTTATGTCACCCAAGCTTTGCTGGCCAATTCTCGCATTGCCCAGCCAATTCTTGCATTGCCCAGGCTTAGCTCTTCGTTTGGTGGCTCTAGCAGACTTGAGCTGGGACGACATGTTATCAGAACATGCACGCACGACATCACGACACCATGCATTTTACTACACACACACACAGAAAACATAGCGTACTGTATCTAGATATGCATTATTTTTATACATATTACAACAATATGTATATATATATATACAATGCTTTCGCATGTATTTTTGCTGAATCCGCTTTCAAGGTTTGTTGCCCTATCCCAGTCTCTTTGAGAAGTGTCAGGCAAGATTCGCTTCAGACCGGATAAGATTAAACGGGGTTTGAATTTCAAACCCGGTGCAAATTTTGACAACACAAAGTTTGACTGCAGCTTCTTGGTTGCAACTCTAGAATTGTGGCCGATGTTTGACAAGAGACATGTGCGCAGCTCAGCATGTTTGCAAGGTGCAGTGATTGTGTAGATTTGGAGGAGTCACAAAAGCGCTCTTCATGTCTCCCTCCTTGAAAACGCTCTGTAGCCAGCAGTGTCTAGGGCAAAACACGGTTGCATGTTGCATTTGCATGAAGTTGCAAGTGCTGCCATGTTCAGTGCAGCAAGATGCATCAAAGTTGCAAGTAGGAAAATTCATCGAGTTTAACCTTTATCAAATGTTGTGTCAAGGCGGCGAAGAAGGGCTCCCGACCCTGGAATTCGAACAGAGGCAGAATGCGTGTGAAGTGTTACTTTGACCGCTAGGTACGTGGCCCCTATTTTGCGATTTAAGTATGTGACATGTCAAGCTGGTTTATAAAATACTACCACTGCACAAGGCAGCGGCGGAAGTTTCAAAGATAGGAAACCTATAGGAGAGGTTTGTTGTTGGGAGTCATGGATGGCAGAGCGAACCCATTGATGGATCGAAAGGTGGTTGGGCCGGGCTATCTATCTGTCTGTCCAACTCTCTATCTGTCTTTCTATCTATCTACCGATCTATTTGTCTATCCGTCTTTCTATTTGCCTATCTACAGGATCTGTCTGTCTATATTTGCCTTTCGAACTGTCTAGCTATCTATTTGTCTATCTGTCTACCTCTCTACCTTTCGTTCTGTCTATCTACCTGTCTTTCTATCTATCTGTCGATCTATTTGTCTATCTGCCTTTCTATCTATCTGTCTATCTGTTTCTCTGTCTATCTATCTATCTATCCATCCATCCACCCGTCCGTCCGTCCGTCCGTCCATCCGTCCATCCGTCCATCCGTCCATCCATCCATACATCTATCTATCTGTCTATCTACCGCTCTATCGATCTATCGATCTATCTATCTGTCTGTCTTTCTATCGTTCTGTCTATCTATTTCCCTTCCTACCTATTCTGTCGATCTATCTGTCTATCCGTCTTTCCATTTATCTATTTATCTGTCTATATCTGCCTTTCTATCTATCTGTCTAACTATCTATCTGTCTATCTATCTACCTTTCTACCTATCGTTCTGTCTATCTATCTGTCTTTCTATCTATCTGTCGATCTATCTGTCTTTCTGTTTTTCTATCTGTCTTGCCATCTTTCTGTCTATCTATCTGTGTATCTATCTGTCTATCAATCTGTCGATCTGTTTGTCTATCTGTCTATCTGGCTGGCTTGGCTGTCTATCTGTCTGTTCTTCTATCTATCTATTTATGTATCGGTCTATCTGTCTATCTATCTGTCTTTCTATTTATCTGTCTATGTCTGGCTATCTGTCTAGCTGTCTATCTGTCTATCTGTCTCTCTGTCTATCTATCTGTCTATCTATCTGTCTGTTTGTCTATCTATCTGTCTTTCTATCTCTCTATCTGTCTATCTGATTGTCCTTCTGCTTATCTGTCCTTCTATCTGTCTATCTGCAGGCTGAACACAAAGCTATTCTACGAGATGTCATTGGAGATTTGGAAGTTAAAAAAACCCAAAAACGAAGCTTTTCTGCGAGACCTCTTCAAATTTGGTTGACAACAGTTCAAAAACGCAGCAATTCTGCAAGACTTCCGCAATTTTCGAAGTTGAATTGACGGCCTGGAAAACGAAGCAACTCTGCGAGACATCCCTCAAAAATGGAAAGTTGAGTGCAGAGCTGACAGCCTCGTACCCGTGCGTTTCGTGAGTTTGCCTCCTATCTAAAGTATATACCGCGCCTGCCATGCAAGTGAGGCCAGGTCATAGGAAGTGCTGCACCTATCAGGCAAAATCATCTTAGAAAACCTAGATCTGATGCCAGCGTGCACTTTTTCGAGAGCGCAACTTCCGAAAGTGCTGCGAGCATGACGTGCGTTGACCATTTGACTTTGAAATCTGCTTCGCACCACAACGGCGTGCAGTTTTTGATCTCTCACATGTCCAGATGGCTCCGCACCCGCCGCTTTAGCGAGCCTACTTTTCGACCCTCCGGAGCCACAAATCATTGGAAAATCACAGCGTGTCCATATTGTCGGAAGTTGGACTTCTAAACTTCCTTCGGTAATATGCTTGTTTTACATGATCAGATGAGGCTTTATCGATGTTCCTTTCCTTCATTGACGTTCCTGTCATCTTGAATTGGTCAATGAGAACCTCTGTTCAGGCTTTGGAGATCGTGAGCTCCGTCAGGTTGGAAAATTTTAAAATTTGATCGACTGCTGCGCATGGCTCTGCATTGCTCCAACTTCCCTAGCTGCCCTACGCCGCCCTCACGGAGTCTTGCTAAGTTAATTTTTGTGGGCCCCAGTGAAGTAAACGCGGTTGCGCTGGTGGAAGTGGTTATGAACGAAGTCGCGAGCTAGCTGCCAAGCTTCGGGAAATCTCAAGGGTACAGTTCCCAAGCAAAGCTCTCAAGGTTCCATGTGCAGGAGGTTGGCTATACTGCTTGGCGTAGTCGCAGATGAAATTTGGGAGGGTTTGGCTGCAGTTGCTTCGCGCTCCTTCCCAAATCTGTTCTCCCGGTTGTTAAATTCTGCTGGGGCTCGCGTGTGCATTTGATGCCAGTATGCTGGTCGTAGTTTTTGTCGCTGACATTTACCGGCTATATGCTGGTACTAGTTGGACAGGGCTGCATGTTGAATCAGAAATATCGTCAAACAGTCAAGAAGGCAGAAGAAGGCTATACATTTGTAGGGAGTGAGTTTGTTCTGTCGTTTTCAGATGCTTTCAGGTCCTTGGAATCATTGATCGAGCATGGCTTGCTCGAGCGGGTGTGCGAGCTGCTGCCGGCTCTTGAGGCACTCGCGCTTGATGAAGTCTATCGCCGTTTGTCGCACTTGTAGGGTTCCCTTTGCAGACAGAAAATCATAAAACAAGTTCCAGCAAGCCACTGGAAGTGTTGGGTGTGAGCTTCCTGTGTTTCTCCCACCCGAAAAGGAATTGCCTATATCGCAGGAGTTGTAAACTGGCCAATGGACGAGACACGACAAGACTCCGCATCCTGCACGGGAAAGTCTATGCAAGGAAAGTGCTACATAGGCAGTGCAAGCAGAAACGCGTAAAGCAGCCTTGCCACACAGGTGGGCCGCGTTACTTTGGCGAATTGCATCATGCAGGCCTTGTTTGGGCACTGCGGCTGGGCACCATAAAAGCCAATAGCAGGCAGGTGACAATTAATCATCCATCGCTCATTTTTCCCTGCAAGAAGGCCTTCGCCAAAGAGGCCAGGCTGCTGCCTATTTCCGCGGCGTGTGCAGAAAATGTTTACAAGTGATTGTGGATGTTCACAGGTCGTGCCCCGCTTGCTTGCAACCCGGTGTCGACCTGGGTGGCATGGCGGATGTTGGATTTGTGAAAGTTTCTACCAAGCTTTGCAACTCCACCCTTTTTGCCATCTTTTGCCCTTCTCCACGCGCGAGGGTTAGTCTCCAAGCTGCTCATGCCAGCGAGGTTGGCTGGAATCCAGCATACTTCAGCACCCTTTCGCACGAACTGGTCAGACTCATGTGCCAATGGAGCTTTGAATAAGGGATCGGTCATGGTCGAAGGTTGCCGTTTTTGCGGACTGGATGCAAACTTGCAGCAGATGGCATGCCGGTCCCAACACATCGCTACAGCCTCAGACCAAGCACCACGTACTCATCCTGTCAGCGGCAACAGTGAACCAAGGAAGCCACACAATGTCGCCAAGGAAGGCCCACAAATGAACAGCTCACTTTGTTCGCACCAGAAAATACTGTATTGAGCTGCAACTGTACTGTTTGCACGCGGATGCAACATGCAGAATGCCGGAACGCAATGCGTGCACTTAGAAAAGGTCGGTGTACTGCGCAAGTGAGCTCCGCAGCCACCAGAGCTGTTCAATGTACAATTGAAATTAATTAATGTTACGCAACCTCATCGGAGTCATAGTATATAGATAGTCATAGCATTGTCGATGTGGATATCTGTATCTAGCAGATTAATTCAGCACTACATAGGACCCAGGCTGACACCTTGTCTTGAGTAGCATTCTAGCAAAGTTTTTTATACACGCCTCGGCCTTTCAAGATTTCAAACTACATGGTGGTATGGCGTGCGCAGGTGGCCATATGGCTTCATAGGCATTTGTGGCCTCATTGACTCAGCGGACAGCCGTGCATGCTTCAAATTTCCCACGCTGGCCGAGCAAAAAGAAAGTGCTTGCAGAAGCAGTATCGTAATGTAAAAATCGCTTGCAATGACCAATTTCACTTTTCAATCAGCTCCAAATGCATGTTGCCCTTGTCAACTGTGGAACAGCTGAGGTGAGACAAGTAGACTAAGTAGACGGCTGGAACGGTACTACCCCTCCACAACCCAAGCCCCCAACTTCTGACATAATAACAGCACGTGTGCAACTGCAACTGAGCGTTGCTGCTAGCGTCCAGCACGTGTGCATGTGCAAGTGAACGTTAGTGCCCCACCCCTCCCACCCCATGCCGCCCCACCCCAAGGTAACCCCCAACCTCTAATGTAGCAAGCACCCTGCAAGTGCGAGTGAACGATGCTGCCCCACCCACCTAAACCCCGCAAACAAGTAGAAATGTCAAAAAATTGCCCTTGGTTGCGCCCAGAGAAAGGCTGTGTAAAAAAACACGCTTGCGCTGTGACGCCAGACGCATGAAAAGCACAAAAAATTCTTTCACCACGCGACCTTCTACACCCGCCCAGCCAACTACATGGTATGGCATGACTCGACTTGCATGACATCGCTAAACAAGAAGATATTCACTGATTTTTTCTCCGCATCTTTGCGTGTCGGGTTCTTGTTTCTGATTCTGTATCCCGCCTCCGCCTCGCCCGCCTCCGCCCGCCATCTTTGTCACACACCATCTTTCACACACCACTTTGTCACCCATCATCTTTCACACACAACTTTGTCACACACCACTTTGTCACCCACCATCTTTCACACACAACTTTGTCACACACCACTTTGTAACCCACCATCTTTCACACACAACTTTGTCACACACCATCTTTCACACACCATCTTTCACACACCACTTTGTCACCCACCATCTTTCACACACAACTTTGTCACACACCATCTTTCACACACCATCTTTGTCACACACCATCTTTCACACAGCATCTTTCACACACAACTTTGTCACACACCATTTTTCACACACAACTTTGTCACACACCATCTTTGACACACCACTTTGTCACACACCATCTTTCACACCACTTTGTCACACACACACACCATCTTTCACACACCATCTTTCTTACACTACTTTGTCACCCACCATCTTTCACACACCATCTTTCACACACCATCTTTCACACCGCTTTGTCACACGCCATCTTTCACACACCATCTTTGACACAGCATCTTTCACACACCTTGTTTGTGAAACGAGGCAGGCGTGGCACTTGGAGACATCCACCTTCGTTTTGCGGGGCAGGCGTGGCACTTGGTGACATCCACCTTCGTTTCATGTGGCAGGCGTGGCACTTGTTGACATTTACCTGCGTTTGGCGTGGCAGGTGTGGCACTTGTTGCACTTGGTGGCGCGCTCCGTTGGTCGCCCGGGGCGCCGCGTCACTTTGCGTGGCAAGCGTGGCGCTTGGTGACATCCACCTTCGTTTCACGTGGCAGGCATGGCACTTGGAGACATCCACCTTCGTTTTGCGTGGCAGGCGCGGCACTTGGTGACATCCACCTTCGTTCATGTGGCAGGCGTGGCACTTGTGGACATTGGCAACATTGTCAGGCGTGGCACTTGTTGCACTTGGTGTCGCCCGGGGCGCCGTGCCACTTTGCATGGCAGGCATGGCGCTTCGTGACATGCACCTTCGTTTCACGTGGCAGGCGTGGCTCTTGGAGACATCCACTTTGCGTGGCATGCGTGGCGCTTGGCGACATCCACCTTCGTTTCGCGTGGCAAGCGCCACACTTGGTGACATCCACCTTCGTTTCGCGTGGCAGGCGTGGCACTTAGGGCGCTGGGCTGGCTCTGGCGGCGCGCTTGGACTGGATTGGTCGCCGGTGACGTCGCGGCACTTTGCGTGGCAGGCATGGCGCTTGGTGACATCCATCTTCGTTTCACGTGGCAGGCGTGGCACTTGGCGACATCCACCTTCGTTTTGTCACACACCATCTTTGTCACGCGCAACTTTGTCACACACCATCTTTCACACACCATCTTTGACACACAATCTTTCACACCACTTTATCACACACCATCTTTCAAACACCACTTTGTCTCACACCATCTTTCACCACACCATCCTTCACACACCACTTTGTCACCCACCATCTTTCACACACCGGCACAGACCATCTTTCACACACCATTTTTCACCACGCCATCTTTCAGACACCACTTCGTCACACACCATCTTTGACAAACCGCTTTGTCACACACCACTTTGTCACACACCATCTTTCACACACCATCTTTCACACACCACATTGTCACACACCATTTTTCTCACACCGTGACAGACCATCTTTCACACACCATCCTTCACACACCACTTTGTCACACACCATCTTTCATACACAACTTTGCCGCGCACCATCTTCCACCACTCCATCTTTCACGCACAACTTTGTCACACACCATCTTTCGCCACACCATCTTTCACACACCACTTTGTTACACACCATCTTTCCCACACAACTTTGTCACACGCTCTCTTTCACACACAACTTTCACACACACCATCTTTCACACACATCTTTGTCACACACACACACCATCTTTCTTCGTCACGCACCAGCTTTCACATACAACTTTGTCACACACAACTTTGTTTTACTTCTCGATCCTCCACCACCTCCGTTGTCGTTCCTTCCTTCCCCGTCCCCGCTACAACATTTGGTGCTTATTATTGGAAGAAGTTGTCTTGTGGGGTTATCCGGTCCTTTAATTTTTTTGTCGCCGGATCCTGACACCCTGGAACCCCATGAGTTTTCCATGGCCTGTTCTGCCCTGCCCGCAAACACAGGCACGCAGAGGCAGGCAGGGGCGGCAGGCAGGCAGGCAGGCAGGCAGGCAGGCAGGCAGGCAGAGGCAGGCAGAGGTAGGCAGAGGTAGGCAGAGGCAAAGCCAGGCAAAGCAAGCAAAGGCAAGCAAAGGCAAGCAAAGGCAAGCAAAGGCAGAGAGAAGCAGAGAGAAGCAGAGAGAAGCAGAGAGAAGCAGAGAGAAGCAGAGAGAAGCAGAGAGAAGCAGAGAGAGGCAGAGAGAGGCAAAGAGAGAATATGTATATGTAGGTGTGAGCTGTAAGCCCCCAGCATTAGGGGTGTGAAGATCTGGCCACTTCAGGTGAGTTTACGGAAAACAAAATCAAATAGAAGTCAGTTTCAAATAGAAGAAGGCCCCCCAAAAGCCAATCAATTCCAAATAGAAGATATTGCATATCCAAGAAATATATGTTTTTTGGCAACATCATTTTGGGACATCTTTTCCTGAATATTTTACAGAATATCTTCTATTTGATTTGGTATTTGCGGGGGTGCTAAACCGAAAATCAAATAGAAGTTGGCCTGTAAAATCATAATTAGGGGGAATATCTTCTATCTTAGTGGCTTGAAAAATATCTAGGCAATTGCGCCCACCAGAATGCAAATACATTGACATAGCCACTAAGCGCACCTGTGCTCAGATTCGAACGCCCATATCGTTTCGTTCGCTGGTCATGCTCAGTACTATGCGCGCAAACAGGTTTAGTCCTGGACATGCCGACCAATGCCTGTAGTTTATGTAAGGTAGGCAGGGCCGGTGATGGAATTTTGTTTGAGAATCATGTCTGACGCTGTGCCTGTGACATGTTGGTATTCTAGCAAAATCGGCCTGACCGCTCAGTTTGAGGTAAGCAAGCATAGGTTGAGGCTCAACTTGAAAATGTCGGAGGCTTGGATGGCAGCACGATACTTAGCGTGGCAATGCAGGTTTCTTCTAAGCAGTCGGCGCCGGCGTCTCCCATGGAAGGCATTGAGCCTGGTGCGGCACACCGGCTCCGTGATGAAGGTGACGCTGACCTTTGAAGCCCGAGACGAGAGGGACAAACCGCTGCTCTCTCAATGCTGCACTCTCAACGCTGCATTGGTCAGATCCTTTCTGTTGCAGCCCATAGGCGTGCGCAGGACTAGCAACGCATACCGCCAGATGGCTATGGAGGACAACTTCCACACTAAGGCGCACGTCAAAGAAGAAGTAGAAGAGGAAGAAGAAGAAGAAGAAGAAACCGTTTCAGTGCCGCAGGGTAGCCATACAGCACAAAAATGGACAACCTTACGGCTGTCATTGCTATGACGTTGGTGAGTTCTGCCTATGCAGCGCAGAACTCTTTGTCTGTGATGCTGTGAAAGCCTTCTCTGCGGTACTGTTATTGCTTTGATAAGCATTGGCATCGCTGGACTGGTATGCATGCCTGTCACTCCAGATGTCTCCTGGAGTATTCACCATTGGCTTGAGAATTTCAAAGCCGTTAACGGCCACCCCAATCCAGCTTGCAAAATGGCACTGGCTGGTATCCTCCTCTCCACAGGACGTTCTGGGCAATTGCAATTCCAAAACACATGGGCACGATCTGCTTGCAAACAGCTGCGAAACGGACAACGGGTGTGTTCTTCCTCAGGATTTGGACGGAGTCCAAAACAAGCCTGGCTGACTTTAGCAAGGGCCACTGCTTGGGTTTCTTGACGTGAGGACTCTCCTCATTGTAAGGCTAAATTCCACTTGTTAGGCTCTCTTGCCTGCCTGATTGCAAGAACTCTTCCCATTGCTGTGCAAGAACTCTTCCCATTGCTGTGCTAGCCTTGGCTGCGACGCGAATCCATCTTTCACCTTGAGAAAAATGCGGCTGGAGATCCTTGCCAAGCACTGGGTGATGCCATCCACGTGGGGCCTGCAACCTCTCGCGCTATTGGGCTGGTTCTGTCTTGCTGCCAAGTGTGGATCGACGCTGCACATGTTTCTCAGGGGCGACTGGAAGCGATGCATGTCAGCTTGCGCATTTGCCATCTGTCTGATGAAGATCCGAACGCGCGCTTGAAACAATACTTGGTCCGTAGTTCGTGGCACGCTGTTTTACGCAGCAACTTCGCATGTCATATGCAACATTTTCCACAAAAGACATCGCTGGCCCCCGTTTCCAGACGGTGTCTGTTTGGATCCCCTAGGTCGTGCCCCCCCCCTTTTTCGTCATTGCAATATAGAGCACGTGTGCCAGCTCGCAATTCCCTGTGAGACGTTCAATGCACATGACCGCACAGTTCAATTTCAGCAAAGCGGTGAAGGACAACATCATTGGTGGGCTCGGATGTCAGACCTTGTCAGACTTTGGGTGCATGGCCCAAGCTGAGGCCCAGGCCGGATGTGTTTCGCAGAGGCCATCCCAAGGTGAGGTTTACAAACTGCTCGTCGTGTCCGCCACGCATGGTCTGCTTGCAGGGGGTTGGCTGAAAGCCAACATTTGCAGACCGTGCGACCAGCGTCCAATGAGGATGAGGATGCAATGCTGCCATCTGATCAGCTGCAGCAAGGCTTCAAGGCTATGTCAGCGATCGCGTGACCTCAAAGTTGGCTGGTTCTTTGAAGAAACGCGCCTTGGACGCGATTGACGCTTGGACGGTTCTTTCCCTGACCAACCTGTTCCTCCAGGAGCAGGCGCAGAACGTGGGCAGTCTACGCGAGAAAGTTGGTGGTTTATTGCCGCGCTCTCAGAATTGCGGGCATCAAGCCCGGCAACGCAGTGGGCACCATCATCCCCACCTGCAGAGAGGTGGGAAATGCGCTGATCTTTTGCGGAGAGAGGAGACATGTGGCTCCTGCAGCCATTTTGGATCTCTTTTCTGATGGGCCGCCAGTCAAGGCATGCTTTTGGTGCTTTGAAACCGTGCGACCTTGTTTCGAGCAAGCAAGAAACATCAGAGGTTTGCACGCTATGTGGAGGCGTTTCCTTCCTTGGCATGTACCCATGTTCATGACAGTCACAACCGGTGGAACATGCTTGGTCATAGCCTCACTCACAATCTGCTCGGGGTGGACCTTCAGCATGCCATGATCGCCCCCGCTGCTTGCGTGGCGCGGTCTATGCCGCGAGAGCAGGTGCCATGGCCCTTGCTGGGGTGTCTCCGGGGACCTGGGACAACTTCAAGTGGCCAGTTTTGGAAGGCCTGCTCAGCAATGGTGAGATAGCCTTCAAAGACAGGATAACGACTTGCCTTGTTCGTTGGAAGGACAAGTGTGCTGACAGCCCCCTTTGCAAGAAACTTGGTCCCTATATGAGCAGTTCCCATTGCGTTTCCACTCTTCGGAATCCAGACAGAGACAGGGTGCTGACTATGATTCGAGGTTTGCAGCAGAGCCGCTGCCATGAGGACGGGATGGAATTTGTCAATGGAAGCCATCAGTGTCCACTTGGTGAAAGACTTAACGTTTCGTTTGCGGCATCATGACCGCCGCGGGCCCGTCCGCAGTGTCCAGAGTGCCCACATCCTCTTCATGGACGACATTAAGCATCCGATCTTGAAAAAATCAAGCCAGATATTGAAAAATGAGAAATCAAAGACTCCATGAACTATTGAAATTTTCACTCCTTGCCTTTGCTCCTCGCAAACAGAGAATTCTGGTCTACAATGTTGGTTTATCCAAACTGTCTAGCTTGAACAAAGAACAAAGTGCTCATTAGTCATCACGTGGCATTGGGGTTTTGAAGCTCACAAGTGGCGTGGTTACAAGCAAGGCGGCTTTGGAGCAAGCAATTTTGATATTGCACTCCAGAATATTGATTTAAGTTTACACGTTGGTTTTCAACAATTTCCTTAGATCTTGGAAAATCTTGATCTTGATTTCTTGTTGCTTGTTTTTCCTCAAATTCGGATGTCCTGGGTACCGTTGCAGCCTCACCGCGCCTTGCCCACGGAGCCCCAGGCGATGTCCCAGTTTTTGGCGGGGGTAGTCTTTGTTCCCACTGCCCTGATCTTTGACGGGACGCCCGAAATCTTCAAACTTTGATCAAACGACACTTGCAACTAGCAGTGGCCCTCATGACCTTAGCGCACAGCATAACCCCCTATGTGGCCCTCATGGCTCTGGCGTGCAATGTTTATGAGCTGGATGCTGTGGTGGGCCCATCTTCTTTACCTTGCAGCCAGCGGGGGACAAGCGGTCGGAGTAGAGATGGTGTTGACAGTCTGTGGCACAAGCGAAGTGGTTTCATTGCAGTATCTGTGGGCCATTGTTTTGGATGCTCACTGTGCCCCTGGTCGTCGTCTTGCCTGTAGTGACTGAGCACGTTGGGATCACAAGGCCAAGGCGTTGGGAGTTTGAAAGTGGCCTCTGGGAGGCATCGGTTTCACGCCAGTGAACAAGGTATTTTGTGGTGACACTGCGAGTCCAATGCGGTCTGAAGCTTTTAGATCAAATGTCTAATATTTTCACCTCGCAACTGTTTGTGCTACTGGGGGAGTCGGAAAGAGAAATGCTGTCTGCGTGTGCTGCGCATCCAACCCGTGTGCATTCTGGCGTGTGCGTTTTAATATTCTGGCTTGTATCCCATCATTTCATGCGCGTGTAATTCTGTAGGGCAAGCAGGTCCGGCTGGGAAGATTTGCACTTTGAGATAGTTCAGCGGTGAGTGCGCTGATAGGGATGACCACGTCGCCCCGCTTGCTCTTGCACTATGGTATAGTACCGTAGCAGCAAGTACTCGCATGCTTGGCTTTTCTTTGACTTGTCAGACCGTGTGGCTGGCGACGATGGTTCATGGCCTGGCTCCTAGATTGACCTGCAACCGTCAGATCTGCATCGGAACACATATAGCACACGCATTCTTACATCTATATTATATATGTGTGTGTACACATAAATGCACAAGGCGCGCGGTGGAAGTTTCCGGCAGGAAGGAATGTTTTTATTCTATTGGGGTGAAGCCCAAGTTTGCCGGCCTACAGGAGTTGGGGGTGAAGCCTCAACTCTTTTCTCAACTCGTTTTCGCCTCTTCTCAGTTCCTCTCACATCTTCTCAACTCTTCTCAACCCACATCACCTCTTCCCACTGCAGCTCAACCCGTCTCGCCTCTTCTCAACTATTTGACTCTCCTCAACTCTTCTCACCTCAGCTCAACTCTTCTCATCTCCTGCTAACTATTCTCAACTCTTCTCAGCTCTTCCTAACTCATCTCAACCCTTCTCAACTTTGCTCACCTCTTCTCAACCCTTTCAGCCTCAAGTCTTCGCATCTCAGCTCAATTCTTCTCACCCAGTCTCAAGTCTTCCCGCCTCAGCTCAACTCCTCTCACCTCCTCTCAACGCTTCTCAATTCCTCCCAACTTCTTCTCATCTCTTCTCAACTCTTCTTCTCAGCTCTTCTCAACCCTTCTCAGCTCTTCTCAGCCCTTCTCAGCTCTTCTCAACTCTTCGTCAACTTTTCTCACCTCTTCTCAATTCTTCTCAACCCTTCTCAACTCCCCGCACCTTTCTCCACTCTTCTCACTTTTTCTCACCTCTTCTCAAGTCTTCTCAGCCCTGTTATCAGCTTATCTCCCTTCGTCTCGCCTCTTCTCGTCTCATGAGTTTCTGCAATGCGAAGTTGAGCCGGTTTCATTTCATCTGTAATTCGGAGTTTCTCTTGAGAACTTTTTATGCAGGCAGCCGCAGCACCTAGGAACCTTGATGCAGCCACTCCACTGCGATCTACAGAGACTGAGCGGCAAGACGCCAAAGAAGTATGCACCATGGCAACAGAAATTGCTGTGCTGCAAAGCCAGAATTCGTGTGAAAGCCATGCAGAAAACGGCTGAGGGGTTCTTGGCTTAGCCCCACGCCATGACAGTAAATATTGAAAGGCAGGTACGTCGATCCAGCGTCCCAGATCGATATCACAGAACCTCATAGCCGTCTTCGTTGACATTCCCTGCAGGCCCCGGCATCATAATCTGCTTCAAAGTTCAAAAGAAACCCAGGTACAGGTTTTATATATATCAGATGTGATGGTTCGTTCACACACACGCACACACGCACATTGATTGATACGTAAGTCCACATGCATATTGCACCAGAATGTATGTGTATGGATTCATGTTTGTCCATGCGTTACATCGCGCCGTGTGAGGTAGATGCACGATGCTCCCACATTGGCCCCAAAAAAATTGCACGGAGAATCCCAAGGATTTTCTTGGAAGGCGGCACAGACTGGCTTGGGCGACATCCCTAGTGCCAACAATGCACATGCCCTTGGCATTGGATTTCTGTTTGTTGATGCGATATTTTTTCAAGACTATCGCTAATAATCCATGGCGTTTGGGTTTCTTTCCCTTTAATCTAAGGTTCCAGGGTTTGTACTGCAACTTCACAGGAGGGAGCAAACCGAGATGGGTGCGGGCCGAAATGAACACACTTGCGTAACGCAACTTCGACTTGTGGGTCGTTTCGCTGTGCCACCTTCAATGCTTCAGGTGTCATTTCGTTTGTGCCTGGAGACCTTGGACGAGTCGTGCGGTTTTTTTGCACTGCTGCTGCCTCAGTTCGAGATGTACAACGACGGTGGCTCCATACAGCGATGGTATGTTGATAACACAATGAGAATGGTGATTTGGCAGGGTTTGCGATTTGCCAAAGGTCTGCGGACAGAAGAACTTGGGGCTTGCAGCCGCTGATCTTCATTTTTAATTACAGAGGGAACGACATGCCATGGGTGCGCCGGCCGTTCTTTCAGTGATACAAGTGGTTCAAGCAAGCTTTTCAAAAGAGATTGCTGGACAATGGTAACCTAAGGACCATCAAGGACTAGGGCTGCGATGGCAACAAGAAGAGACATGAAAAAAATCAGGGTTAATCCTGCATTTTGAAGGTTTTGCATCAGAGCGCAAGCGGTTTCAGATCCTTTGCTCAGAGCTGCTCCTGGCCTCCCTGGCAGGGCAAGCGGTCTTTTGCATTGCAAACACAACCAGTGACTGGTGACTTGCATGTCCTCCATCTCGAGGAGGCCCGTGAAGTAGAATTCAATTGGCATGCAGCTCTGGGGTCTGATACATGCCATTGATTCTTTTGCTGGGTTCCCAGAAGGCATAGTTTGGCATCCCGGATTCACACATTTTCACGCGGTTTCGCTGTCTTCGAAGAATACTCCGGATGGAATTGCCAACCCCAATGATCCGACAATAGGAGCGCAGCTTCAGAGCACCATTTTTCAGATTGGCAGGGCATCTGCGTGAGTGTGTTAAGGGCGGTGCCTGCACACATGATTGACACTATCTACTACACGCCCTGACATTATTTATTTCCTTCCCGGAAAATCCGGAATTGGTTATATAACCGCTCTTCTTTTGCCACCTTTGTGCTTGAAGAGACACGCTCCCACATGCGCAGAAGTTCGTTTCAAACCCGTTCTATTCCGAGGATTGCAAACAGAATCAGCGATAGGCAATATGAAGCGCAAGGCTTCTACACACAAAAGGCGTCCCACCAGCCCACCAACGTTGCATTTGATATCCTTTTTGATCTGCAACTGGAACATTCGTGATTTAAATTATTGCCGGACTTGTCAGTCCACCTGTTACTCTTAAAGTTTTCTGTCTTCGTCCCTTTCTGCCCTTTTCCCTTATTCCGCTGTCTTATCGTCGGACCAGGTCTTTCCTCTCCTGCTTGCCTCTGTGCCCACCTTTTGCTTCATCTTTTCCAATTACTGTTAAATTTGGTTCTCCTGCTTTGGCTCTCTGTCGTGCCCATAACGCAATCACCCGGCATTTCTAGATTTGGCAAGGTAACTTTAGTTCTCTTTTCTCATTGAACATATCCCTTAGTATCAGATTTCTGTAGGCGGGCTGGCTTACTGGAAGATGTGCTTCCGAATGCAGTTCAACGGCCGGTCGAATGTATGCGCGAGGCAGAAATTCTTCCCCGAGTCCCTTATGAGATATCTGTGCATTTGGACTGGCGCTTCCCTTGGCGCATTGGAGAGGGTTCCTGCTGGTGAATTTGTGTTTTCAAGGCCCAGGATCAATTGCGCTCGCTTTCGAAGGCTCCGTACATGTACTTAACCTTCCTACTTTCCCTTCTCGTCCCTTCATGGATTCATCATTTTTTGGTCAGCATAGTGTCTTGTGCAAAAGCTGGTTGTAACTTGGCAACTAAAAAATCAGGTCTCAGGGACTTCTGGAACTTTTCATTGACGGTGCTTGTGTCCTGCATGGAATCCCCTTCCAGGCCGCCCTGGCACTGGACATGACACGATTGTAGGGTGGACGTCAGTGAGCCAGAGCCACCAAAGTGTTCACCAAAGTGTTGCCAGAGATTCAGTGTCTTCCGGTGCTCAATCAGCAAGATGTGATTGGCCCGCCTCTGCCAGGTTGATTTGGTTCCGCGCTACATAGGTGGAGCTCCAAGTTGCTGATGTGTTTCCATTGCAGCCTTCCTTTACTAGAAATAAACCCTAGGGAGCCGCGCCAAGTCCATTTGAACCCTGTCAGATCCAGCCAATCCCCCGGCCTTTTCTTCTTGCAGAAAAGAATTGAAACAAGAGAAGTCGGAATGGAAAGATAAGAAAGGTAGATGTGATGTAATCCTTGGCGGGGTTGGAATGAAGTTGACGCGGATTTACCCCACAATAGACAGATTGGCTGCAGACCTCAGGTTCCGCTGACTTTTGCGGGCCACTTGCTGAGGTTTGTACAACTGGAGAAGCCGTGCTTCCTGTGGATTTTCAGAGAACAAGCCCCAGATGCCCCAAGCATGGCGCAGATATTCTAGGAGTATTGCAGGCTGAGTAGTACCTCAACGGTCTGTCAACAAGTTGAATGAAGTCCTGCTGATCATTCCTGAAAGTAAGGATAATGGTTGGGAATGCTCGGCCATATCCATTGGCAAGATCACCGCAGCATGTTTGGAGGCAAAGTTGGAGCCTTCATCGCAGCTTTTGAATTCTTTAGTGACATGTATGTCAAATAGCGGCATAGTAGGTTTTGTGGGACCGTCCTCAGACGACTGCTGCTGTCAGGGTTTCTGAGAGACAGCAAGGCAGGGAGCAAAGGAAATGGAGCACTTGACTTTTTCGGAAAACATAGTTTTCGGCCGTTCAAAACCATTCAAACGTGAGCCAAGACTTCGCGAAATTTAGCCTCTCAGGGAGCTACCGTTTCAGCAGACACAGGCCTGGACAAGCGACTCACACTTGGATGTTGGAGTTTCGTAGCTTTGGGCGAAATACGGTAGTAGTTTTGCTCTGCAAATTCTTATTTTTTTTCGCCGCCGATGCACCTGCATTTTTCTAGAAAAGCTGAGCGTCTGAGCGAAGGGTTCTTCTGAAAAATGAAGCGGGTATCCATCTTCATTGTAAACACCTTCACCTTGTACATCCGTACATCTTGCATCTGCAAATCTTACATCTGCACATCGTGCCTTTTCGCGCGAAATCCGGCTTCGTTTTACAGGATGGTGAGCTTCAAGATGCTTGCCTTTGCAGCCTGCAGCCAAAGAGAGAGAGAGAGAGACAGAGAGAGAGAGAGATGAATACTGACATGTGAAGACCTGTGTAAATATGATTGCATTCCATGAGAGTTGTCAGATGCTCAGGGCCAATACAGCGTGGCTAAGGTACTTGTGCTGCTGGCTCTTGTTGCAACATGTTATTTGAGCTTGTCGCAAAAGATGTGAAAAAGAGTGATCACTTGTGTGGGAGCCGTGATGGCAGGACGTTTTGGCAGCTATTGCAAGCGCTGCTTTTGCTGCTTTGGAAATTTGCGTGATCCTGGTTTTCTGTTCTGCTGCCGCGCAGCCCGGACAGCGGCTCAACTTGAAATACTCTTAACTGTCAGCGCGCGTTACAGTGCAGCCTTTGCCCCTGCTTTAGATTTCATGACCTTTTTGAATCGCTGAACAGCAAGGTTCGCAGCACTGATTTCTTTGCGTCCAAATGTTTCTTAGCCCCCTCTCGTCACTCCATGGCGCATGTCTTTCTATCTAGGAAGCACAGGTTTTGCTCGGGCAGCTTTGGGCCATGGCTACACCCTTCCAAGGAACCATTTGTCCCACCAGATGCGTATCCTCTCTGAGTTCGAAACGGCCCTTCCCTGCGCAGCCTAAAGTTTGGACGCAAAGGGCCGCACTGGGAGGCTTGCGTGCATGCCTTGATAGGTCAACGGACTGGTCTTGCGGGATTGCAGCTTTGTGCTTTGCCTGGAGCTTTTCACGTTGGGGTCCCAGCGCGCCGCCATGCCGAGGCCATAGTCTTTTGAGTGTAAGACAAGACAGATATCACAGAACATGTACATCAAGTGAACATGCAGCTTGTCCTCCTGACTTGGCGCATATTACATATATGTTTGGAATATTGCCACGCAGTATATTATGGTCGTTCTAGATGCTGCCAGATGTTCTTGCGCAACGAACTTGCAGCCTAAAAACCGGCGGCGCATGCAGTGTTTGAATGCGTTTTGGTACCCATACGTGTTTCACGGGTTTTTTTTTACAGCGATTACCAGCCTACAGGCCTACAGTCTACATGTTCACAGTTGTGAGGAAGGCCAGATAAGAGTCAACCAGGGATGGAGATGCGTATATTATTTCAATCTCGAAGACTGAGGCGCAAAGTTTATGCCTTGTGCGCCGAAGTGTGGCAGGGCGATCAGGACAATGACACGTGCGTTGGGGTCGATTGAGCAGTTCAAAGTCTTTGGACCTCCTGATGATCCGTTTGTCATTGAAACCGACAAGGTGCTAGGCGTAGGCGGCCAAGGTACAGTATACTTATGCCACAGAAGAAGCACGCCAAACACGAAGCACGCTGTCAAAACCATACCAATTTGGCGACTACTAATGGATCCCTCCTGCAATGAGAAAATCGCATCAATCCGCAAAGAGACGGAAGTTCTGCTGCAGATCCAAGGCCATCCAAACATTTGCGAGTGCCTTGGATGTTTCGATGCATTTAGACCTGGTACTTCCCAAGCCCAATACATCATGATTGTCATGGAGCTCATTGAGGGCGGTGAGTTGGCAAGCTTCATCAAGGATGGTCAGGGCCTGTCAGAGGACATAGTCAAATCCATCATGCGACAAACAACCGCTGGGCTTAAGTTCATCCACGACCGAGACGTGGTTCACCGCGATCTCAAAGTGGAAAATATCTTGGTGTGTGGCACACAGATCACAGCCACAACGCCTGTCAAGGTGATAGATTTCGGTGTCGCAAAGAGCCTGAAAGGCACTATGGCTCGCAGTTGTGTGGGCACCACTGAAATCATGGCACCTGAAGTTGTAAGCGCCAAATTGATGCTTGCCCCAAAAGGCGCATCTATGAAGAAGCATGGTCCGTACAGCTTCAAAGCTCCGCAGGCAGGATGCGCTGTAGGTGCACAGTAAAAACCAGGTTTGAAAGCAGTGGCGCTTACCGTAAATTGTTGTGGGGTGTTCCAATTTCAACTGTTTCCAGCTATTTGGCAGCCATGTCAGGAGGCATCGCCAGGCTTTGGCATTGTGACACAGCGCCCTGATGGCAAGGGCGCCATGGTGAACGGCATTGAGCCCGGAGGTCAAGCGGCAACCTTTGGCATCGGAGATGGCTGGGCTATCTCACACATCAACAATGTGGAGGTGCTGGAGATGCCCTTCGTGAAAGATTTCAATGAAATTGGTGCCGGAACAAAGGCAGGTGTTACAGCTATTGCCGAGATTCTGGGTAGCCTTAATGCTCCATTCAATATGGAATTTGTGGAGCTGCCAAAGCGGGAGTTCAGCAAAGCCATCGACCTTTGGAGTTTGGGAGTATCTCTGCATGTCATGCTCACGGGGAAGAAGCCATTCGAGGACAGCCGAAAAGTGCAATGATTTGTAGCTTTTTGCTGGGGACGCATCGGGAAGATTCCTTATCCTGCTCCAAATTTCTCATCATTGCCTAAACACCTGCGTCAGTAAGACATTTACCTGCATCTACATCTGTGTATCTTTTTATGTAGGTGCATTAAAGACGATCATGTCCACCTGCATCTGAACACAAGTTGAAATTTGCCGACTATGAAAAGCGAGGATACTGAGGATAATTATTGCCAGTAGTGCCACACAAGGCGGTGGCGGAAGTTTCAAAGATAGGAAACCTATATATAGCAGAGGCGAACGGTCGCGATGTATGGATTGCAGAGCGAACCCACTGATGAATCGAAAGGTGGTTGTAGCTGTGCTTTTTGGAGTGGTTGCAGTGGTCACCTCACCCACAACTGCTAGATTCTGCTAGATGTAATGCAGCGTAGCGTAGTGTAGTTGTAGTTGTTGTTGTGGTTGTAGCTGCATTTGTTGTAGTTGTAGTGTAGGTGTAGCTGTAGTCGCAGTTGTAGTGGTAGTGGTTGTGGTAGCTCTAGCTGCAGCTTTAGTTGAGTAGAGCGGGGTGTAGTTGTAGCTATAGTGTATATAGTGCAGCGTAGTGTAGTGGTAGGTGTAGCTGTAGGTGTCGTAGTTGTAACTGTAGTAGCTGTTGCTGTAGCTGTAGTTGTTGTCGCTGTTGTTGTTGTCGTTGTTGTCGTCGTTGATGTTGTTGTTGCTTTTTGTTGCTGCGGTTGTAGTTGGAGTTGTGGTTGTCGTTGTGGTGTAGTGTGGTGTAGTGTGGTGCGGTTGAACGTCCAAAGGGGGTCCGAGCGTGGCGTGCTTTTCACGTGTTGACTTCGAAATTTGCTTCGCGCCACAACGGCGTGCACTTTTTCAACATCTCAACTTCCAAAAGCGGTCCGACTCTGAGGCGCTTTGAGCATTGTGCTTTCGAAACGTGCTTCGCGCCGCAACGGCGTGCGGTTTTTCAACATCTTAACTTCCAAAAGCGGTCCGACACTAAGGCTTTTTTAACATGTTGACTTTGAAACGCGCTTCGCACCACAAGGGCGTGCACTTTTTGCTGAGGTGTTTCGTGCATTTTGCCTTCGGCGTGTGCCTGGCGCCACAACGGTGTGCACTTTTTGCTCTGAACCTAAGGTGTTTTCAACATTTTGACTTGGGACCGCGCTTAGCGCCACAATGTCATGACATCTGAACTTCCAAAAGCACTCCAAGACTCCTGTGTTTTTGACATTTTAACTTCGACATGTGCTTCGCGCCACAACGGCGCGAGAATGATCATCTCTTATCCGACCTGATGGCTCCGCACCCGCCGCTTTAGCAAGCCTGCTATTCGACCCTCCGAAGCCACAAAGCATTGGAAAAACGCAGTGTTTCGCCACTTTCCTACCTTTTTGCGCGCCTGCATCTTCTTTCCTCTTCCTCTTTTTCTTCTCCGATCGTCTTCCTTCTTCCTTCTCTTCTCTGACTCTTCTCACCTCTACCTCTCCATTTGTCCACATTGTCGGAGGTTTGAATTCAAACTTTCTTTCTGTTATTTAAAAGACTGATGTTGGTGATGATGATGATGATGATGATGATGATGACGGTACGGGCACGGTTAGTGAAAAAGAAAAATGAAATGTTGATGTTGATGATGATGATGATGATGATGCTGTTGTGATGATGTTGTTGTGACGGTGTTGTGATGATGGTGATGAGAATGACAAAGTATGCTGGTAGCAACTTTTTGGGAAAACCCTTTGCAGGTCCTTTGGGGAATTGGTGGTGTCTGTCATGCTGGTGTCTTGGTGGTCTCTCAATTGTGTTTCGGTGGTCGTTGGTGTCTTGTGGCATTTTGGTGGTGTGTCCGTGGCTGTCTTGGGGGTGTTCGGTGATGTGTTTCGCTATGTTTTGCTCATATCTTGGTGGTGTTTCTGTGGTGTCTCGGCGCTGTTACGGTGGTGGTTTTGGGGGTATTGAAGGAATGGCATTTTCTTGGCTAAGCTGGATCACCTCTCAAGACAATATTGTCGCCAAAGGAAACGCAAAACTTTGCTATTGGGGTTCTATGCCGGCTTAATTTGACGCCCGGTCTCTCTTGTCTCTCCCGTGCCTTGACGATTGAGGAGGAGGCGCAGATTGTAAACGGAGAGTTCGACCAAACCTTGCTGAAGCGGTGCTCTCAAGATGCCCAGGACAATGGGACGCGTCATTGATTTGCAATACACCACGCTGTGGTACAGGTAGTGGAAAGCAGTTTCATATTGACTTCTTTAGCTGACAAGGCGTCATGTTGTAGATATTTGTAAGCACACGGGTTGCTGAAATCAAAGCAGGCAAGTTTTGACTTGCAACTGCAGCTGTACTTTGCAACTTGCCCTGCCTTGCTTCCAGCGCAGCACCATAGTTAGTTGCAACGTTTGCATGTTGGCCCTTGGCATGACGAGCTTGCAGCTAGGACCTGGTCAAGGGCTTGCTGCGCATGAATCCAAGTGAGAGATTGACTGCGGATCAAGTCTTGGCGCATCCATTCTTGCAGTGAGATTCTGGATATGACCAAAGTTTCCAAGTTGTTTTGAGAATTTAGCCGTTGCCTTCTCTGCTCGCTCGCGCAGTTGTCCACAAGACAGGTTTTTTCAACGGTGTGAAAGTTTAACATGAATTGGCTGTTCCAAAGACGAACAGTGCCAACGAGCTGCACGGAGCAGATGCTGTGCGGAACACATTGTTTGCTGGCAACTATTGGCAGGTGCGAAGGATTGGGGATAGCTGCGCCACTTTACAGGTGTAGCTTGGCAATAATGCGAGAAACCAAGGTAGGCTAGGTTCCTGAAACAAAACATGATGTGAGTTGACCTTTGAGTTTGCAGCGGGCAATGTTGCTTGCCACAGCCGGCATATAGTCAGGATTTCAATTGCGCTCCTGTCGTTCACTGCTTGGTTTCGATTGGCGTGAGATTCCGCCTTGGAGGTTAAAAAAAGGGAAAGCAAACCGGCCAGCCCTTGAGATTGCGAGGAACGAAACTTCCAGATTGCACCAACTGTGCAGAAATGAAGTGAAAATGCAAATGTAAGATCGTCGCGCCGGTTCTTGGCTTAGCCGGTCGCCATGTTCGGCCAGTTGAAATGCTGCAAAGACTTGAAGTTGAAATGGCAGGTACATGACGAAGGCGTCCCTTTGTCATATCACCATGGACAGGCAGTGTCTTCGTCGGTGGATGACTGCCAGGCCATGCATCCACCCCCTGCATCATGATCTGTTTCAAAGATGGAAAGAGAAACGAAAAGTACAAGTTTTACATCTATACTATTTAGATGGTTCACACACACGCCCCGCAGCAGCGGGGCTTTTTGGAAGATCGCACCGAGGCGGATTCACAGCATGAATCAAAATTTCGGGCGAAGATCAGAAGACACTCAGAGGCCATCATCGCTCTGATTGGAGGGCAAGTTGTCGTTGGGGTCCCTGTGGTGGGAGCCCATGGCAAGCATGTTTGCCGCAATAGCCCATCGTGCTGATAGTTCACCAAGTTGACCCGGAGTGAGTTGGTCATGGCGGGTGGCCATCGAGGACATGTTGGTGTCTCCTTGAGTGTCAGCATCACGGATGTCTTGCAACAAGCGGGCAAGACATACAATATCCGGACCAGGTTGAAATTCTTCATATGGGATGCCAAAGCATCTCCTCCAGTAGCGGCCGAGTTCCCATCCTTGCCTCCAGGACCCTGTCAAAGACCAGAAGAGGTTGTTTGCATGACATCTGACCATTCTGTCGCAATTCATTCACATAGAGCTCTTGTTTGTTGCCTTGCGTCCAAGTTTCAGAGTTGATGCCATGCAAGCCTTGGCCAGGGACCGCCAAATTGGATGCCTGAGTGCTTGTCGACTTGTCGACGAAGGAGCAAACGCGGGAGCTGGAGGTTCAACCGTTGTATAAGGAGCAGATTCAGCTGTACAGGCTAGTGGATCAACAGGTTGTTGGGCAGTGGTGTCTGACTCCGTACAGAATGAAGGTGGCCAGCTAATGTTCGCCATGGTGCAATCTCGCTTCGTAACGGACATGGCAGGCGCCCCTTGGGGAAAGAAAAAGCCATGAAGCTGGAGCAGATTATAAGTGAAGCAACAAATAGACATGAAAACCATCAGAAACGAAAAAGAAACACAAAGACACGGAAGGGGCAATCCGGGGAGGTCAACAGTGAACAGCATTTTTAGACCTGCAGCATAAGATCCCAAGATGTCAGTTCACGGAAGGACTGTACTAGGATCTTTCTGGTGGCACATAAGTCGCATGATGTAAGGCTGGGTGAAGTCCGTGAAGAGGAAGGAATTGACGCCATCATCTTGCCTACGACACCATTCAAGTCGATAGGAGCTCAACGCGGCGATGAGGGAAAACAACGACTCGAGCTCGAAGACATCCCCAGTCAAGGTAGCATATCGGAGACAAAGATCATCAGGGTCCAGTTGAATGTCCCAGGTCACCGAAATTTGATCAGCAAGGTCATGAAGAAGATTGGTAAACAAGGTACAAGGCAGTTGCGAAGGAGCTACCAGCTTGGAGAAAGTGAAAAGTCCTTCTTGGTCAGTGGCTGTCAACGCCGGCAGCAGGTCCGATCGAGTGTGGATCACATCACTAGGTCCAGCATGTTCCTAGGCCATAAAGCGAAGGTCATGATATGAAATCAGCACCATGTTGATCACTGGGGTAAATCGCGCGACTGCCGGAATGCCATAGAATTGGCCCGGGATCCACAGTATGCTAAATCACGAGAGCGAGAACGATGCATCATGGAAAATGTTGTCGATTAAGTAGAGGCTAAAGACAAATCAAAAAATGAGGAACAATGGCAAATTCACAATCGGCGACCCCCAAGCACAAGCAGCGAGGGATGTGCAGAAGGATGTTGACATTCTGACTAAGGATTTGTCCTCAGGATTGGGGACAGTGTCATCCCTAGGAAACAAATCAGAATGAGTGTTCTTTAAGAACATCCAACGTGCACGGCAGCTCTCAGGAGTTCGACAGACCTTGGAAGGATAGACTTCCAAGAAGGGCAAGATCGAGAGTCCTGTTTGTACTCCACCAGGTGATTGTCGTCAAGGTCAGTCCAACCTCGGTTCCCCATGAAGATCGAAGGTCGGTTGGTTCACGGTCAGGCTCAACAGGGCCGTGAACTCGGTGCTGATGGGTCTCCACGTCTGCAGATGCCGATGAAGCCACTGGTAGTCCATGGTCGGAATCTGTTTCAGCATCTGGTTCAAGAGCAGGGGCAGGTGGAAGGGTTTCAGGGACGGGTGGTCGCATACAACACGGTGCCGTAGTGATAGGAGGAGAACGGGGAGGGTGGACTGTCGCTGTCGATGCTGGAGTGGTTCTGGCGGCAGGAGGTACAATTGAAGAAGACGACGGTGGTCTTGCCGCGGGGTGAACTTCATCACGAAATGCCGGCATATAAATCGAAGAATGAATGGGACGCAAGTTCGGTTCTGGGTTGGTCACCATATGACATGGGTTCCCTGCATAGTCATCAAGGTTGGAGGGTGGTTGGGTCTGGGCACTGGCACAAAGGTGTGCACATGACTTGATCCAGTTGAGAAATTTGAAGGGGCCAGGGGGATTGATGGTCCCGATGACATAGGTGTAGATTCCCAACCCAGATCCGGTTCAAAGAGAGGTAAGAAACCAGCGATGTAATTGAGATGCATGATAGCCCTTGCCAAGTGGAACCGAATCTGGCGCTGATGAGAATCCATCGCAACCGAAGGAGAGGGCCAAAGAAAGCAGCAGGAAGAACGAGTTTGAACCAAAGAGCTGGAGAGGAAAAGGCACGAGAAGAAGAGAAGAAGTGAAGAATAGGCAGCAGCAACAAATGGAAAGAGAGATTTTAAGTCTGGATGACAACAACTTCGAAGAAATGCTTTTGAGTTCTTCGACATCGAAGCCTGCCAAGTGGTAAATATGAATTATAGTTTTTGAAGGCCTTGATGAACTCTGTACAGCGGGAAGGCACCTTTCACTACGATGTGGCAACGCGATCGAAATTTACTGAGAAGGACTTGAGGAGGAGCTGCCGAGAATGGGGACAAAATCTGCGAAACATTGGTGGGGCCACGATAGACTAATGCAAAGGGATTTGCCTCAATCATGAAGCCCAAGAACTCCTGGTCAGGTTCAGTCTCCCGAACGACGGGCTTGCCATAGAAACCTTCATCAAGCAAGATTTCATACGGAGCCAGGTCCTGAATGAGTTTGTTACATTTTGTTACCAAGAATCATCCGGCTGTCCACATCGAAGATGCCGAACGAAAGGTTATGATTTGTAAGAGTCTCCTTGAAATTGATGGACCAATTTTGTTCGCTGATACACTCCATGAGGCATAGCGCCGGTGACAGTGGACTGCCCATGGGACTTCCTCGGTGTTGGCGAAAACTTCTAGGGCCCAATGCAAAGGTTTGCATGTTCAGTGCCGTCTCGATGAGGTCAGGCACATCGCGAACTGCAATCTTCCAAACTTCCGAGTGACATTGAGCCTCCTGCAGGCGCGACCTTTCACAAAATCACCCGGATTATTGGTCTTCCCCGATAGACGGAGAAGACTTCATTACCATTTACGTTCATGTGAGGTCTGAGAAAATCTAGCAGCATGTGCCGCGAGCCTAAAAACGTGTCAGGTTCGATCCTAATGAAGAATCCTGCCAAATTCTCCTTGAAAATTATGAGGTCGTCATACTCCGGTACCTCTTCGAGAAGCTTGAGCAAGGCATAGCCATCGCTAACCGCGAAGTGATTATGATTAGGACATCCAACCGGAATGAGTTGGAAAATCATTGAGCATTTGGTCGAAACGGGGAATCGACAAACGAGATGATAGGTCGTCCAGCCGTGTTTTTTTTCTTTTTGGCCAGGATTTAGCCTGAGGACAATTGGCGACCGCTTCCAAGAGCCCAAGGGTAAGTCTTTCCATAGGCCTGTTCCAAGGATGCGACCATCTGGCTGACCATGGCTGTGGGCGTTGCCTCGAGGGATTCGATAACTTGGTCGTTAAGGAAAATTATTTCCAATGATTTTTATAGTATAAGCATGGGCAAAAGATCCGTAGGGACGAAGCTTGCCTGTCTTCGCAGCAACACAGAGCACCATCAAAGGATGTGCGCAAGGCTGTAACGGTCGATTTCGTGATGTGGTTCGTGACAGACTTGCAACAATGTTGTTTCCAAAGGCGCGTGATGAGGTCCAATATATTTTGCTTGGAAATGGATGGAAGCCCGTTGGTTCGTGTCTATTGGTTTAGAGCGCTAATCATCATCAGAGTGTGCTGGACAAAAACACCTTCTTGGACAAAGACCCTTCTGCGATGACAGCGTGCTTAGGGGACAACAAGTCAGCAAGAAAAGTCCCAGAAAGGATCCAAGGATCAGTACCAGGGTTAAGACATGCTTTCTTAAACGGGGCCCATGTCTTGCAACAGCACACTGGTGTGATGCTTGTAGCCCATTCTGTGACGGCATGTTTGTGGTTGCAAAGGAGGTTTATTACCGATGCATGTTTCCCAAAAATGGTCTTGAACGATGGGTTGCGGGCAAGAATTTGTTGATGGCACCGTCGAAGACATTGGCGTAGTGATTGGACAAGGTTATAGCTCATAGGCCAGATTATGCTCGAGGAGTGGCGTGTCCTTTCCACGTTGATGGAGGTATCGATCGCTTGCAGTGAAAGAGTTCTGTAAGGTTCTTGGATGTTGGAGCTCAGGCGTCGGAAAATATAATACATGGTGAGACTACTACTGTAAGATCGAAGCATGTTAGTGGTTTCGAATTTGGCTTTTGTATTTGTAGCTAGGTTTGGTGTAGGACCAGGTTAAGTTCAACGGGTTCCGGAGAAGGATGCAGAGAAGGTTCCGGAGAAGGTTATAGATTTTTTTTTTTGCAAATTAAAGGAAAATTTAATTTTCTTAAAAATTAATATATAAAAATATT